AATTACTAGAAATTATTGAATTATTATTGGAAAATGAAAAAAGAATTTAGGTTATAAATTTTCAATAAGCATAAAAATAATTTTAGGCTGACTCACCTTAGTTTTGCTTGTTAATTTAAAGTAATAACATATTACAATAGTTTCTTGTACTTATAAACATTTTGTTGTTACGTATTCAAATTCTTTTGTTTGTTGCCTGAAGAAGACAATTTTGTATTTGTCGAAAGTGCTTGTTGTTCTTAATTTCATATTAAAAACCTATTTAACACCAACAGACAATATAAATTTCAGTAATATTATAAGATATTGGCATGCCCTAGAGGTAAACGCATATATTTTGTAATATTCTTATTTAATTCTACAATAATAAACATGCTTGCTAAAATTCCTGGATGAAAATGCTTAAATTTGAAAATGAAATGTTAATTATAATTTGTATATTATTCATGTAATAAAATATGCACTAATGCATGGTTAATAGCAGTTTCATCTAACTTTGTTTTAAGAAATTTCTGATTATAGAGAAAGGATTAAAAAATTTATAAATTTTAAATTTCATTGACTCTGATATATCAACAAGATCTTGATATTTTTATTATCTAAAGTTGTTAATTGTACAACAGATAAAATGAACCTTGGTAAATTGCTTTTTAAATTTATTAGTGATGTAATGAATATTTGGTTACTATTCAGTATTCAGCCTATTTTTCGCTATTTGGCCGAATACCAAATATTTAATCACTATTCAGCTGAATACCGAATACCTAAAAACAGGAGTAAGAAATAACAAAAACACAGTAAATTAATCATTTTGGTGTTTAGATTTAATGCTATAGGGTTAGTGTTGTTTGTTTATATTTATTTATACTTATAACATGCACAAAATAAAAAAGAAAATAATATTAGTCACATGTACTGTATTCACAATTTATAATTACAAAGATCAGCATACGTACACACCTATTTGTTCGAGAATCGTTGCACATCTGAGGATCTGGGCCTGCCTATCCTTCTTTTTAAGCGCTCGTCTTTGCACTTCCCTTTCTCTTTCCTCTATCATTCTAGTCCATGTATGCCTATGCATACATCATAATACACCCTCATGATACTTTCGATTCGTCACTTTTCTGTCGTAGATTTCCCATTTTACAATTACGTGACTCATAGCCTGGTGATAACGGAGAAAAGAGACAGACAGGACATTGGTATAAGTCACAGTTATGATTTCACAGATTTGAGACAGCTTGGTAGCTCGAACAGCCCATGTGCACGCTAAGTGACTTTCATTACAAGCGTTTAGCTTTCTGAAGTCTATGACAACAATTGTTTGGCATTGATGGCTGCAAATTTCACACCAATAAGCTACCTCGACTTGTTCGATTATGTTATCAACTCAATTTCATATTTATTTTCACATTTTCACTTTGCAGTCCTTCTCTGTTCTTTTTCCGTTATTTACACGTGTAGGTCATTTCATTGTTATCCACATTTGATATCATCACTTATCACATACTGCCATGACACTCATGTCTGTCCACTACAACTGTCAAGAATTAACGCGATTGGCAAAGCATAGTGACAGCGGGCCAATAGAGAGCAGGGTCCTTGCCATAATGCGGTTTGTGCGCCAATTTTTGTATGTGCGTTAATCGAGCCAAATAGTTTGGCTGAATATTTGGCTATTCGGCCACGCTTCTGGCCAAATATTCTGTATTTGGCCTCAAGCCGAATATACTATTCGTTGCAACACTAAAATTTATCTCTATACTTTGTGCATATTTCTTCAGTTGTTAAATTTACTTAATAATGAAAAATAATGTTTATCTATCAACAAAAAAGAATACCACTAATTGAAGACATGAGTGGTTGAAGTTGTTACAATCATTCAAAACCCATTTGTCGTGAATAGAGGAAGATGCAATGTATCAGTCTTTCACATACCATCACCAAAGATCTCAGAAGTTAAATGACTAATACTCTCTGCAAAACACTATTTTATGGATATATTTATACTGAAATAATTATGTAAATAAAGTCTTGAATATCAATTCACTTAGAACTTTGATTTTGTAATATAACATTTTCATCCACTCATATCTTTATGTTATTTTTTCAAGTACAAATGTCATTTTTGANGAAATTGTTAATTAACTGAGTTGTCTAGTTATATAAGAGAGTCTACAAGTTGCTAAGCTAACATGATTGGAATTACTAGAAATTATTGAATTATTATTGGAAAATGAAAAAAGAATTTAGGTTATAAATTTTCAATAAGCATAAAAATAATTTTAGGCTGACTCACCTTAGTTTTGCTTGTTAATTTAAAGTAATAACATATTACAATAGTTTCTTGTACTTATAAACATTTGTACTTTGGACAGATAAAGCAATGAATATCTTATCTCTTGATTGTGAATTTTATAGGTGAATCCAATAGTGATAGTGCTCCTGATGATCATGATTGTGATTTTGAGCCTGCACTAGAATTTGATGACACAGAATTAGTACAGGCAACAAAAGCAGGTAAATTTTATTTTTAATAAGATATATTAACTTGTTTTGCTCTAATAAATATTGCAAATTTTGATTTTTTTTTTCTAAATAATATAGAAATATTTAATCAATTTATATCTGATATATAAAGTTTTTTTAACAAAAATACATAAAATTGGTATATGTTTAAAATTAATGTTGATTTGTAATTTATGTATATTTAATGTAATACATAAATATTGAGATTTCGAAATCTTATGATAATAGATGATAAGTCTTATTTTTATTTTTGCTTGAGGAAATTCAAACTATTAATTATTTATATTTGTTTTTATATTCATAGAATTAGAAATGGATAAATCATCTGAACAAGATGATGATCCATTATTGGAATCACCTATGTCAGATGGTATAATGGATGAAAACTTTGAGGATGTCCTTAGTTTAAATTTTAACAAGGATATTGATGTGGAAATAGCAGAGGAAGCTATTGATTTTTCAGATATTGCCAAATATGGAATTGTTGAAATAGCAGGTAATAATGAATAAGCATACAGTTTAATAAATAGTTAATTTTGATTCAGAATAAGTATGTTTATTGCATATGTAATGTTTTAGAATTAGTTTAATTTATATAAGTTATTTTTAATTTTCTAATGCTTAAATTTTAAATTGTGTTAACTGTTTTTTCTCTTATGTTTTGAACAATTCTTTTCCAAAATAAACACCACTTATTAAAATTCAAAATAACTGATATGTAGATGCATGATACAAAAATTCTTGAATATTTTTATAGTGAAATTATTTTTCTGGATCTTAAATGATAATTTATAAATGATCTAGAAAAGAATGTTCTAAATTTATTAAAGAAACATTTCATTGAATTCAACAAATTATTAGAAAAGTTGAAGTCCAACAGACTATATAATCCAAATTAACCGTAAATAAAGATATTCAATGAGATTGAAAGTGTGTCTTTTTTGTTTGTTTGATATATTACTTATATCTTGAAATGAAAAAATTGTCATCTTAATGACATATATGACAGTAATAGCAAAGTAGTGAGTGGCAAAGCATGTTTTACTTCCTTCTAAAAAAAAATTTTAAATTACAATAGATTCTATTTATTTTATTAACAGATAATGTTATTAGAATTAGTAGGTCTTCAAACATACAAGTTAAAATACATTATAAAACTTTGCATATGTGAGAATCTGGGGCCAATACTTTTTGTTTAAATTGATAAAATTTAAAAATTTTAACAAACAAAACCTTTTTGTTTTTGTATTTGAGTCACAGAGAGACTTTCGTTTTAGAAGGAAGTTCCTGAGGAGAGATGTTGACTTTGATATCAAAGCAACAAGAAAGCTCCTTGTTGCTTCTTTCCTCAGGTGACTTGTATCGTCCCTAATTATTGGTCGGACAAAATCCTATAAATAGGGCCAAACACACATCAATGCTGCAACTGGAAACCAAACTCTCAAGAAAGTTCATGTCCAAACCAAAAGAGTTTTCTGCCAAATGCAAGAAACCACAGCCAGCCTTGCCAACGATTAAGAAAATAAGGAACTGAAATTAAGTATTACATTTAACTCAAATATGTAAACTCTCTCTCAGGATAGATGTAGTGAGTTAGAGAACTAAAATCCTCACACACTTGATTGTTGAACCGTTGTTTTATCATAGTCGTCATTTATTTATTTATATATATATATATTTATTTATATATATATATAAATGACGACTATGATAAAAATTACACCCATTTTTATGCTAGTGGAGTCTTGGCCTAAAGCAACGGTTAAAACTGATAACAGATGCATATTATAGCTACATGAAGCAAGAAAACAGAACTTAAAATCTCTTTACCTAAAGATAACAACAATAACTGAATTTCAATTACAATGTGAAACGAGGAATTCTGGGTTAACCCCTTTTTCACATACAGGATGGTAAATAGTTGAGAAGAAGATTCATCAAAATCTTCTTGTGATTCCTGACACCAGTTAGGATAAACTAGTTGTGTCCTAACTCGCAATTAAATTAACTGTCTTCTGATTGGCTGAAGATATAATAACAACTTGACTGGAATTTTAGGAGGGTTTATTAAATACAAAAATTATTACATGGTTCGTAAGCCAATGATAGAGTTAGGCATTAAATCAACTAAGTGGCAAATAAGCATATAACTATTATTTATTATAGGAGATTATAACTATTATATTAGTTATATTA